CTCCTCGGCGCTACGCCGCTCGACGGCCGCGTCTGGCGCGAAGAGCGCGCTCCTCGGCGCCGGCGGCGTCGGCCCGTCGTCGTCCGGCGCGGCGGGCGCCGGCGCATCGGCGGCGACGAGCGGCGCGCGGCGACGCTCCGTCTGCGCCACCTGCAGGGCGCGGTAGTCCTGCACGAGCAGGAACGTGTCGCCCGAGTCGAGGTCGAGCAGGTCCGACTCGGAGAGCGAGCGCGGGCTGGAGCGGCCCGCCTCCGCCTCCTCGGGGATCGTGGCCGGCGGAGTGGGCCACGCCGCCGCCGGCGTCGCCGCGCTCGGCGTCTGCCACAGGTCGGCCGAGCTCAGCGGCGCCTCCTGCGGCCGGAAGGCGCGCAGCAGCGACGCCTTGCGGCCGAGCTTGGCGCCCGGCGGCCGGCGGCGGCGCGCCTTGCGGTCGATGGTGACGAAGTGGTCGAGCAGGGAGGAGGCGCGCGGCGCGCCGGCGCCCGAGAACTGCACGTTCTTGCGTGCCGCCTCGTCAGCAGGACCCAAATAGGGGCGCAGTAGCTCTGTGTTGTCGCCCTGGCTGAAGATGAGCCAGCCGCGGCTGGTCTGGGGCAGCGAGTCACCCGGCCTGGCGCACCGCCAGCCAAACAGAGGTCAAACGAACGGAAACGCAACAAAACAAGGGCGCTACGGAATGGTGCGGATGCAGACCGAGCACAAATATACCAGAGAAAACGAAATAAAAGCCAACGTTAGTAGAGGTAAATCGGTAATTGCAATAAACAAGACCAAACTAAACGTCTACGAAGCAAAAAAATACGTGCGCTCTCCACACAAAACAACCCAAGGGACTGAACGGTTAGCCGAGGCGGTCGCTGAGCCCGTCGCGTGGCTGGGGTCGGGCCGGGTCGGGTGGCCGGTGGCCGGGGTCGGGCCAGACCGGGCCGGGCCGCCAGCGCCCGGCGCTACTGCGTCGGCGACTCATGCTGCTCATGCTGCTCCACTAACCGCGGGCCCGAAGGCAAACTGGTCCGGCGGCGGCGGCGGCGGGTGCTGGTCCGCTCCGAAGCCTGCCGACGCGGTGTGACGTCACCAGAGATACGGCCGGTGGGAGACCAGCCACGGACGGCACAATACACGACGCGGTGTGACGTCACCAGAGATACAGACAGAGGAAGACCAGCCACGGACGGTACAGCACAGAGGTAACACCACGAACCAAACAGCATATGAGACGAGCAACACGGCTGCGTAATGCTATCTCGCTGTGTCAACTCTCCACTGACCCGAGTCATTGGAGCTGCACTGACCCGAGTCATCGGAGCCGTACTGACCCGAGTCGTTGGAACTGTACTGACCCAAGTCATCGGAGCTGCACTGACCCGAGTCATCGGAGCTGTACTGACCCGAGTCGTTGTAGCTGTACTGGTCCGAGTCGTTGGAGCTGTACTGACCCGAGTCGTTGGAGCTATACTGACCCAAGTCGTTGTAGCTGTGCTGACCCGAGTCGTTGGAGCTGTACTGGTCCGAGTCGTTGTAGCTGTACTGATCCGAGTCGTTGTGGCTGTACTGACCCGAGTCGTTGGAGCTGTACGGACTCGAGTCGTTGGAGCTGTACTGACCCGAGTCGTTGGAGCTGTACTGACCCGAGTCGTTGGAGCTGTGCAGGCTTGTGTCGGCCGGGCCGTTCAGCACGGGCGTGGTCTGGGATCGCTTCATCTCGGGCGGCAGCGGCGGCGGCGGCGGCGGAGGCAGGTGACCGGAGGTGCCCGCCGGCTGCACCTGGACGCGGTCCAGACCAACATGCGCCTCAGCACAAGGTGGGCGGAGCGGCGCCGCGCCCGGCACGGCGCCTCAGGTTCGTATTGGCGCGCTTTAGCTGATTGGCGCGACTCAGCCATCCCGCTGCCGTGCCGGTCAGCACAGGCAGGTTTTTAAATGACACGTGAGGCCTTACATATGACGATACATGATGCATAGATGCACATGTGCATTTGTGCATGGTGCATGTGACGAATTTCACATCGCACACCTACATATGAGACGCGTTATATATCGTGCCCTTCAAGTACATTGGCCTGACAATGCAACTAAGTTGTACTCTAAAATACCTTAACACGCGCCCGGATGGCCGGCTAGATACCCTTTGCTCGGGTGGGGGGGGGGGGGGGGAGCGGGGTCAATTTGACCCACTGAGATCTCGGAAACTAAGAAAGCTTAAGACACCAAATTTACAGGGTGTGTTGGCCTGTGCGTGAACTCACTTAGGTCAACGTTTTATATTCCTAGATCATGACCTTCAGGTTAAAAAAGGTCAAACAAGGTCAAGTTTTAGGTTGGTGTCCAAAGTGCCCCCGGAACCTAGATAACCGTTTCTAAGCAAAACGCCACATGCTCAATCAAGGTCAGTGACCTTGTTTGACCTTTTGAAGGTCGAGGTGATCAAAGCATACAAGATTGTTGTGAGTTTTGCATTTGGCTAAGCGACAAAGATTACGCTAGGCAGTATGTTCCAAAAAAAAAAATGTTGACCCGGGTCGTTTCAAGTTATTGACCTATTCTGACCTCTAAGAAGTCTATGAAAGATGTATAATGCGGTTCCTGCCATCAATAAATTCGAAATGAACATCATAAATTATCCCATACAGCAAGCCCTAGAGAAACAAAACAGGTCGATTTTGACCTTGGTGTGCCTTCCTAGCTGACCTAAGATCAATTTAATTTGTTCATTCAACTGTTGTGTTGCCTAAGAAAGCATCTCAGAGATGTATGGCTTTGTCTAACACTCCGTTGTTGGATCAGATTGAAGGATTTCCTAGAAATTGACTTCGCTGAAACCATGGCCTGACTGACCTGCCATAGGGCCAGCGACCTTACAAGGTACATATAAATTGTTGATGCCAAACGAACCGGTATTAAATTGTCTACAGCTATGCCGCCGTCCAGAATCCATTCTGAAAAACCTTGGGGGGGGGTCAATTTGCCCCCCCCCCCCCACCCGACCGCGTGTTAATATGGCCGAACAAATTCTGCGAGAAAAAAAACCCAGAAAAAGGCCATTTTGAGGCCCTAAATTTGCGCCGCATGAACCCGAACGCACATCTTCTATCATGGGCTTTGTGAGCCTGGTGTGATGCTGGGTGGGGCCAGCGTTATCATGACGCCACACCAGAAACTAGGACTGAGCCGCGTCGCTGCACGTGCGGTCACCTCAGCAGCAGTGGCATACGCCGGCGTGACCGTGACAGTGCCGCCGAGAACACGACGGCTTCACGCACCTCATCCCCGCCCATCGCTTGTTACCGGCCACCGTCTGGTCCTGCCCCGGCCTCACCCCAAAGACCTAGCCACACACGCCGTCATCGACCCGCCGGCCTGCTAGCCTCCTGTCGCGACCTGGGCCCGCCAGTGCCGCTGCCAGTCGAGACCCGGTCGAACGGCTGACACCTGTGCTGAACAGCGTCTCCATGCGTCCACCCCGTGGCCCACCCTCGTCCTTCGGCGGTCCGTCACCGCGGTGCCTCCCTGTCGCCCTCCGGTGGTCCGCCACCGCGGTGCCTCCCTGTCGCCCTCCGGTGGTCCGCCACCGCGGTGCCTCCCTGTCGCCCTCCGGTGGTCCGCCACTGCGGTGCCCCACTCTCGCCCTCCGGTGGTCCGCCACCGCGGTGCCTCCCTGTCGCCCTCCGGTGGTCCGCCACCGCGGTGCCTCCCTGCCGCCCTCCGGTGGTCCGCCACCGCGGTGCCCCACTCTCGTCCTCCGGCAGTCCGCCACCGCGGTGCCTCCCTGTCGCCCTCCGGTGGTCCGCCACCGCGGTGCCTCCCTCTCGCCCTCCAGCAGTCCGCCACCGCGGTGACCTGCTCACCTTCCGGGCGGCCAGTCGGCTGGCCAGTTCTGCGTGCACGCTGGCGGGCCGTTTGGGTGGCGCCGTCAGCGCCCCTGGCGGCGGCGGACGGAAGGTGGAGAGCGCCAGTGGCGCCGCCTCGGAGCGGGCGGCGGCGGGACGGGCCCTGCCGCCGGCCGACGCACTGAAACGCAGCACAGTCCGGTGGTGAGGAGCAGTTCGGACCCGGCCGGACCGGGCCTGTCGACCGCCCACGTCCCACGGCGGGCGCGGGAGCCAACTCTATGTCTGCCTGTGACTGTATGGCTGTGTGTCTGCGTCGTGTGTCATGGGCGACAGTGCACCGCAGAGCGGCAGCATAGTACTCCCCTCAGCTGCGCGGCAGAAGGCTGACAATGCTATCCAAAGAACATGTCAGTCAGGGGGGCAGAATTTTTACAGAAAAGCCTGAACTCGAACCTACGCTGTGCTGGGCCAGGATCGCACGCACTCTGCACCGAACACCGATCATATATGCCTTGCGAAACAGCAAAATCATACATCATCTGCACTAGACCAGCATTACGCGTTCTTTGCGTTGGATTGGGATGACACGTACTCAGCGCTGGACTCGGAGCCGTGCGAGCTGCTGGAGTCGGCCACTAGTTCGGTGTAGGCCGCTGGGAACCAGCCGCACCGGTGCGTGCGCACGTTCTCGCCGAACTGCCAGCCCTTGTTTCTCTCGCCTGCAACAGTGACGACACGTCCGTCACGAACAGCACGTCACAGGGAGCCAGATGGCGGCCAGGTGAAATCTCTCGCCCTGCTTTCTTCTACCCTCCCTCTCGCCCTCTTTTCTTCTACCCTCCCTCTCTCGCCCTGCTTTCTTCTACCCTCCCTCTCATCCCTCTCTTCTTCTACCTCTCTCTCTCTCTCTCTCTCTCTCCTCTCCTCCCTCTTCTCTCTCTCTCTCTCTCTCTCTCTCTCTCTCTTCTCTCTCTCTCTCTCTCTCTTCTCTTCTCTCTCTCTCTCTCTCTCTCTTCTTCTCTCTCTTCTCTCTCTCTCTCCTCTCTCTCTCTCTCTCTCTCTCTCTATCTCTCCTCTCTCTCTCTCTCTCTCTCTCTCTCTCTCTCTCTCTCTTCTCCTCTCTCTCTCCTCTCCTCTCTCCTCTCTCTCCTCTCTCTCTCTCTCTCTCTCTCCGCACACGGTCCGAGACCGCACCTCACTACCAGACAACAGACAGGGGCAGTCCGTATTCAGTTGGGGGTACACCAGCCTCCCTCACCTAACAGACTCTGCACAACTCCACCCTTGGTACTTGCGCAGCTCAGCAGAGGGCTGTGACGAACAAACCCCGCAGTCGCAGCAGAATGTTCCCGCTGCACCCATCCCATGCCGCCTAATTACGTGAGAACTGCTTACCATCATGGGACGGCCGAGAATAGCGCGGCACCATAACACATACTGAACTGCCGGGGCTTCATATAAATAACCGGTGCGGTAATTAGGTGTTACTGTCCCTCGACTACCGCCACCGCTAACAGTTGATTGCGTGTGAAAATGCTAGACAGAACAACTGAACGTAATCACGCGGCGCAATCATACGTGAGCTATAACGAGCAATTTGTTAGCACCCAAGATTGCTAAATTTACCTGACACGCTTGATTGCTGGGGTGTCACAACCCGGCGTGTTGCATGACACAAGCAAACATGTGAAAGTATCACGACTGATTGATTCGACTAATGAACACTAAACATTCCCACTCCACTCCACTCATTTGGGATTCTAGACCAACCGCAAATGCAATGAACGAAAATACCGGCGATTGTACTCTCAGCACAACAAGAAGCAACCCAGATCAGTATGCTCACTGACATGGTTGCCTGTTAGCAATGTCCGACCAGTCAGCACCGCACCATTCGCTCCGTGCCCGGGTAAGCTTCAGAGGTCTGATCGACCCAGTCTCCCCTGAGGTAAGACAGCACTGGATTCGCGTTCGCCGACTCCTGGCGCTACAGACAGCAATCAGCCTTTGAGCTGCCTGAGTGGTCAGAACGCGCGAACTCCCGACTCTAAAATGAGCCTAGTGCGGCGGCCGCGTGATGTCAAGACTCGCGCGCTTCTCACGCTTCCCTGGGTTCTGCTTACACGCACGCCTTCTTACTCTTAATACTCAGCCCACGCTGTCTCAACGATACAAACCACAGCGTAACACCTTTGAGGAAGCTCAGCTGCCACCCTTCATTTCTTCGGCGGGCAGCAGGCGCCGCGCCTTCTCACCGATGCAGGCGATGGTGTCGCCCTCGTGGAAGCTCAGCTGGTGTTCGCCGCTGCTGAGGTAGGCGTACACGGCGCGCACCAGGGGGCGCTCCGAGTGAGAGCCCGCCGAGGCCGAGTCACTGGAGTCGGTGTCCCAGCCGGGCCGGGCCGGGGCCACGCCAGGGGCTTCGGCCGGCTCCGGCACCGCTGCCGGCCACAGGAGTCAGCACAGGTCACCACAGGTCATCAGGGGTCACCGCAAGTCACAACGGACCATCACGGACCGCCATATACCTCAGGTATCGTAGGCACCAGTCATCACAGATTACTTTAGGTTATCGCGGGTCACTGCAGGCTACCGAAGGCCACTCCGCAGACCACAAAAGGTCATCGGATGTCATCACAAATCTCCATAGCAGCATGCACATCACTATGAATCATTGCAGGCCACCACCGGTCACCACGGGCCATTACAGGTCACAACAGGTCACCCCGGGTCATTATAGGCTACTACCGGTCACCGCCGGTCACCACGAGTTGTCTTTCTATTGCCGGCCATCACAGGTCACTTGGAATTACCAAATTCAACTGCAAGCTAACACAAATCGTCGCAGGTTATCGCGAACTGTTCCAGAACACGAATGAGTAATACAAAGTGAATAGAATAGAATATGACAGACAGCTACAGGCTCAGTGCAGGTCAACAACGTTGGCCATGGTACATACAATACACTTCTGGTAACTGACAGTACTTCAGTGGCAATGCGATTCACCGCAGGTTCCTGGGAAACATGGACACACTGTTCTAACGTGACAACTTGATGGAGGGGGGGGGGGGGAGTTACAAAAACAAAGGTAAACGTAGGAAACACGACAGCGAACTGATGCCACGTTTGGTCCCTGCAACACAAAACAACCAAACTGGCAAGAGATCGTACCATTCATCGCTCGCTGGCGCTTCCACACCCGAAAATTACGCGATCTATAGCCTTGTAACCACGAGTCTTGCATTGCAACCACGCTAAACCTCATAAGCGGCTTGTTTTTTTTTATTAGAGCCATTTCGGCCACAAATGATCATTTCAGGGCTACCGTATGAAGGAAAATGGTTAACGGTGGAGCAGACTTGCATGCGCCTGAGGGGCAACCCGCCGAGCTTTAACCCGCGCATGCGCGCTGGGTACCCAGTCGGGGTCCCCCTTCTCACGGGGCTCTCGGACCACTCGTGGCTGATGCATGCAGCCTGCCCCCGACAAGCGGGGTGTCGCGAGGATGCAGGATAAAGCAGAGATAAATGATAGTCATATACACATATACACATACACACATCTGAAACAACAGGGACGGATGTCATAAGCGGCACGGTTCACAGTGAGCCGTCTTGTTGATTGGGGCTCAAAGGCGCGGTGACGGCCGAGGTCATTTGGCGCCTATCG